TGACTTTATACGCGGAAAAAATTGTTGTGTAGTTTTTGAAGGTTTATGTCGAACAGCATTAATAAGGATTCAGCATAGCAAACAAAATCGAGGTCAAGAGGGTTCAACAATGATACTTAACAACTCTCAAGGATGCGGCCGCACCAATCTACACAGGCTGATACATACTTCCCGCCCGACCTATATGTAACATGAATTTGAGAGCGTAAAAAAAAAAAAAAAAAAAAAATATCCAGCAATCGAATGCTTGGTATAATCATAATACAAATGATCAAATTCGATTTCTTAAAATCAATTATGTTACCAAATAATACCTCATCACTAACCTCGTTTTTTTAATCAAAGTGTAAAGGAGGCAGGAGTTATGCCATAACGGAAGTCATAACAATGACATTTCACACAAGAGAAATGAAAACAAATCAAAATAACTATAGATCAATTGTATAGATCTACAGAAAAATCTAAGGTATGTCTTAACCTTTTTTCGACGAAACCATATGTAACTGAGATTCAACCACCAAAAAGAAATAAGGACCTTAAACTTATCTTGATTTACCTAAGATTAACATATCAGCTATAGTTAAAACAACAATTTTTAAGGAAAATGACTCCAACTGTTCAGGAATAAATAATTAAAAAATAGTTCAGGAATAACATTGATACACCCAAGGCCCGAGACTAAAGAAATACTAAAAGAATAAAACTGCGGCCATCTTTAAGTAATGAAGAAATAATACAAATCCCTTGGTATTACAGTAAAAAAAAAAAGAAAAAAAAAAAGAAAAAAAGTCCATAGACGATAAGCTTTGTATGTAAAGGTCTCAGTTATAAGTATAAATCGTTATTAAAGAAGCTTATTCCAATAAAAAAAAACTCCCATCGATTGAGATTCAATAATCATTTAGCAAAGCATATCGAAGATCATCGCTATACAGATTTTGAAAGCATCACTGTCACTTTAATGATAAATACAACCTTTTGCAAAAAATGATCTACAACTTTACCGGGGAATTGCAAATCATAAACAGTAACTGGTTCACCTTTTTGTATTATGAAGATAGAAGGTGTTTGTGATTATGTAACTAAACTAACTAAATTCAAGTCTACTGGCGCAGACGGAATTCGACGCAAGATTCTGAAATAATGTAAACCAGCAATCGCTCCAATCTAAACTCGTGTTACAGGTCCTGCAATTCGTTATGTTCTAAAGGAAACCAAATAATTCTATTGCACAGAGGTAATGAGGAGAACATCCACCAATATCAACATAAACAAACATCTCAAATTAATCCAAAACTGTCATTCGCCATTTCTACAAATATCTTTAAAAAATACCAGCTCTTCCAAAATTCTCAGTTGGGATTTTGTTATTAACACTCTTCTTCAATCCTGTTGCCATCTGAAAGGAAGTGACAATGGTGACATGATCGGATCATTCTCAATAAATTAACAAAAACATTTGACTATTTGGCTTGAACACTGGAGAAAGTCAACAACATGAATTGAGTGGTGTACGTCTTACTTTAGGAATAACGTTCAGTAAATACAATTAAATCAAATGTCAGCTATATCTGAGTTAAATTCAAAACAAGGGTCATAACAAATCTTTATCGGGCCCTTGGACATTAACTATATACGTTAAAGACCATTCACTGTACGTACAATACTGCGAGGTAAACATGTATGATTATAATTATAACATTCATATAAAAAGCAACATTGCCGCGAATATTTTATCCCTCAATCATGAGGATCTTAAGAATAGTTCGGCCTTGTGCTGTAATAATACCATTGTTGTAAATGAGTCAAAAACTAAAAGTTTGTTGATTGGCAGCAAAGAAAAAAACCATAACACGTTTTACAAATTGAATTTGACAATATTACCATATGTTGTATGACACTTATGCCCAAATTGGTGTTACTTTGCGTGATCTGTTGTTTTGTCGATCTTATCAATACGAAACCTTGATATCGATCAGGTTCGATCTGTGCTCATTTTGGACAAAGCTGCAACCATTTAATTAAGAATCGCGTTAGCAAATTGTCATTTAGAGGGTACACTATACGTAAATGAGATCGACATTATTATTGCTCATTTTACAAGTTAGACGCCATAACTGAAATTGCATATGGAACCAAAGCGTCACAACGATGCTGGAGGCTATGTGAATCAACTAGTGATAGTGTATTTGGCTGATACCGGATAAGAGATGTAAACCCAGAAGAAACTGTGGTGTAGTTTCCAATGTTTATGCTGAATCACACGTCAATCATCGTGAACAGCATGATCAATCGAGGTCAAGAGGGATCAGCGATGAGACTATACAACTCGCAAGTATGTCCCCGTATCAATGCGTACAGGCTGATACATTAGTTCCGTCCGTGCTTGGCGGAACATATTGTAAACAATTACATAGACTTTCTGACTGTCACGAGCTCGTCAACTAGTCATACTGACAAATACTCACCATTCAATAGAACATATTCTGACCAAGTCATGTTTCCGGGCCGTAAATTTTCGGAACGATATAGAACAGAATCTTATATAAAACTTGCGTCAAACAAAGTGTAGTCTACTCGAAGCTATAATGTATGAGGTATACTCTACAAAACAACAGTTACAATAAGACGATAATGATTTCATATTATAGGCATTCAGATGATTTTTATAATCATGGTACACACGATTTAATTCGATTTTCGAACAGATTGATCAGCTGTTACGTATATTACCACTATTACCCATAGATGTTTCAGAATAGTTAACGAAGAGAAATTAGTTGAAGTTTCTGTAGATAAGTGATCCAGACCAGAGAGAGAGAAGGGGGAGAAGAGAGGGGATTTTTGAAATATGTACATGAACCATACCCTGAGATGTACATTGTATTAAACACATATAGAGCAATTGTAAACCATTGTAGTACACACATACATATACTAGGCCTCAAATCCTCAAGTATTGAACCCTTTCGTAGAAAAAACTTCAAAACGTTTCAGCCTGTTGTAATATTATAACGATTTAAGAGGAAAGGGTGGAGGGGGAAACACGTTTATTACTAGAGGAGGTAAGGTAGTCTAGTGGTAGGACGCCGGGTTGGTGACCGAAGGTTGGCAGGTACGAGTCACGGCAATGTTTTGTATCTTTGAGCAAGATACTTTACTTCGCTTGTTCCAGTCTACTCAGCTGTAAATAAGTACGTGGTTGGGCAGAGCTAGAATTGTTGAATGCTAGCTGTTAGCGCCGAAATTGCAGCTCTGGCTGTATGCTCTTCAGGGAGTTGAGAAAGGTATTGGCTGGTTGCAAAGGCCCTATAACCACGGATAATAATTTGTGAACCGCTATGAGACGACCTACGAGCTAGGTTGTGATAAAACGGTATATAAGAACATCGAATTATTATCATTCTTATTATATACAAAATTAACACATTCTGTCACACCTAAATCCAAACAGTCATGCTAACACTTATTCATACTCATCATCCAATTGTATCTTCAAAGACACCTGACTATCTTTAACGACTTATAAGAAACATTTGAAGAATCACCTACTCTCGTTATGTGTGTAACTTCCAATCGTAGATACAAGATAACTTAAACGTATAAACATTTTAAACATTTCAAAAGGCTTATATACATGTATATTCTATGGATCAGTTTTAGTGTTGAGGATTACATCGCTAACATTATAACATCAAATGCAATTGTTTAACATTGTCTTACACACATATAGAGCCACACTTACAATTTATTGAATTCACATGCCTATATGGATTCTATGTATAGATTATATTGCATTAATATTAATTATAAGCAATGTATTAATATTTACTATAAGCAATGCCTTACTGGATTCTAAGTATGAGGTCAAGAGGGTTCAACTATGATACTTAACAACTCTCAAGGATGCGGCCGCACCAATCTACACAGGCTGATACATACTTCCCGCCCGTACTATATGTAATATGATTTTGAGTGCAAAAACTAGTATTGTAAGAAAATAAGGATTTTAAATTGCAGCAATCGAATGCTGGGTAAAATCATAATACAAATGATCAAATTCGATTTCTTAAAAACAATATGTTACCAAATAATAGCGCATCACTAACCTCGTGTGTTTAATCAAAGTGTAAAGGAAGCAGGATGTATGTCATAACGGAAGCCATACCAATGACATTACACACAAGAGTAATGAAAACAAATCAAAATAATTAAAGATCAATTGTATAGATCTACAGAAAAATTTAAAGTAATATCGACCAGGTTCGATCTGTGCTCATTTTGGACTAACCTGCAATCATTTATATAAGAATCTCATTAGACTGTCGGTTGGCGCAGTTGATAGAACATACGCCTTTCACATAGACGATCAGGGTGTGACTCTCCAACCTGACATGAGAACTGGTCACCTGGAAAATGCAACGCACTTCTGGATATCTGAACGTACTGATCCATAATAATGCTATGCAATACCGTCAGTACAAGTTTTAATACCAGGTCAATTAAAAATATATAAATAAAAAATATCAAAACTGTTAAAAATCGCAAGAGACATTGTACTTTGGAACATATCAAGTACAATTCTAGCCCTACTGGCTCGATTGTAGTAGACAACGGAGAGTTTGTTATACTGGAAAATTATCATTGATCATTACCTAATGTTGGTATATAGTTACTGTATTAGATGAATAGTGCTAATCCAATAGATCGAAACCATCGGTCTATGTGTAAACTCGGTCCTTCATTTCTGTATGTATTATTACAATATAAATAGTTTTCCTGTCTTGCAACATATATATGGTAACACCAGTACTATGTATTGCATGCGAGAGAAAGGTAATATAGTATGACATATGTTTCATCACCTATTTATTGCATTAAATTACATGTACATGAAAAATGTATCCTTATGCATATATATATATATGAACGTCATTTCCGTTTTTGTCCACGTATAAAACAGCAACACTCAACGGACTGGCCATATGAGAGCAAGTGTGCACAGAGATACGGTATATTTGACAGCAGGAGAGCAGGCTCTAATTCTGATTCACCCAACAGGGCAAAGCTCAAACTGGTATTTATACGAATCATATCGTGTCTGGAATTAGAAACATTAAGTAGATACTTATTTGTCCGCTTATGTGATAAATTTCTGTTGTGTGAAAACAACCTTTGTGGTTGCTGTATTCTACAAATACTGCGATACACTTATGACAACAATCAGAACAGTAGAATTCCGACAATATCAACGGTGTTCGAAAGGCGACTGGACCACCTAGATTATACATGATGTATAAGAAAATGAACCGGTGCTCCCCATCGATTCTTAGACTATTCCTTAGCTGAGCAAATACTGGTAAGCCATTAAAACTAGTCAATTACATAATATATATTCATGTTATATACATAGTAAGAGCTTCGGGACGTACCAATTCTGAAAAGGGTTGCATGTAGTATTATTATGATAAAAATATATGTTCTGTTATCATTTTGAATTATTGATGATAAAAGGTATACTAATGCATATTTAAAACACTCAATTATTACGTTTTATTTCTAAAAGGATAAAGACACACAGGGTTAACAGTTGAAGTGACTTAATGTTATGTATTTGGGTTTTATATACAATTTATTTATCAAAGTATGACAAAACATTTTTGATAACCGAATTACCGAACTTTCATTTGACCTAGACCGATTATTCATTATTAACCCACACACACACACACACACACACACACACACACACCCTCTCCATAATGAATAAGGTCAAAATTACTTCATTTGGGCTTCAGGAGTATTTCTTTTTCTAAACAAAAAATAACCCATAAGTTCAAAATCGGGTGACACCTTCCCATTACCTACGGGAGTCCTGAACCCTAGTTAACTGTCAATTTCACTTTCCAAGAGAGACTCGTTATGCAACTTGAGGTACAATACCTTTCAAACATACAGAAGGTGCAATCTGTCAGCAGTAGAGTCCAACCCTTCATTATTTCAATGTTGGTTCGGTTCAAAAGATGCCCATGTTAAGATAACCACTATCTCTTATTTTGGTCACCGCCCCTTTTCCAGAAGAAGGTATATGGTGACTCAAGATCGTCTATGTCTAATTGATATACTGGTTAAAGTTAGATAAGCCAGTACGTGAGTCTGTACAGGATTTATTCAACTTTCCCCTTCTGGTTTCCGTATATAAATATACATATTTTTTGTTCGTTCATGTCAAACGATATTTGAAACTTGAAATTGCTGGTTCAACAAAGAAGAAAAACTAATACCTCTACATGAAGTGGGTAGAAGGGCCTGGTGGACGCAGAATATGTCACATCTACCTAACAAACTGATATTATGCATATGACGATACTCTGAGTAAATAGAAATGACACCAGGAGCTATATAACAACTACAGATATAATAGATAACGCGGGAAATACACGTTTATAATAATGTATTGTAAAAACTAAAGTATGAAATCCCATTTAGATATAACGTCACCAAACTTGAGATTATATAGCTGACTTTATTCAATGACTTTAAAAAAGCAACAGTAAGTCAGGTACATGATAGAAATATGTGTATGACAATGTATCACCTTGATTGAAATTGAGTTCAAGTAGATATCTTACTCATTGGAAACAGCCTTTGCCACAGTAAAAAAATCAGCATATTTCCAGTTAGTCAAGTCAAAACCTTCACCTTTATTGTAATTCTTTATTTAAGTCTGCATTTCCAAGATGACCACACTGTTTCATGTATGCAAGGTTGAATAGCATTAGTCAAGTTATAGTATAAATTCTCCGTCTCCTTTACAGGAACTGATATATATTAACTTCATTGCATTTTATTGACGAGGAATCTTCCTTGTGCCATGTTTGGTCAATATACAATATATCATTGCAAAAAAACTTTAAATATTAACACCACAACCATCTGTGCCCTGCTCTCTGTCACAATGGGAGTCCAGCTCTACATTTATTCTGGATTAAATTATCCTTGCCGAGAGATATATCAAGGTAAATAAGTTATAAAACTCCTTTTGGCCCCGCAATATACACCAGGGGAAAATATATTCCAAACCACCAGCAATAATAAAATTGCCATTTTTGCTTTTTCCAATACGCAATCCTTCGAAAATTCGGTTCCAAAATAAGTTTGAGCCTTAGGAAGTACTATTTATATAATTTTTATTTATTTCAATAATTTCTGGTTATCGTGTATTTCATTGTGCTACTAGATCATCCTGTCTTATGTCAAAACGGCACTTAGTTGCTATCTGATCCAACGCTTACGTACTAGTGACTCACGTGCCCGCCAGGATAGACGTCATTTACGTACCCTTGGTAAATCATATCAATTCAACTTTATTTTGGTTTGTTGTTACATGTTTACCATTAGCTCTGAAACAATTAAGCAGTTCTTTGCTTATGCTTTATTTTCAATTTCGAAATATGAAGCAACGCTGTGATATTTTATTGGTATGTTTAATTTTAAGAAAACAAATAATATCTGAAATGAAAGGAATGGTCATTTTAAGTAAGCATCGATGAAAGTGCCGTGGGAGGTTTTAAAGAACACATTTTATCTAGAACTTTTTTTCGGGCGCGTAGTTAAACAATTTTAGCAGTAGTGAACTGGTTATGTTTCATTATACTCTCATACGTAAATCACTTAATAGAACGGATATAGAAGGTTTTGCAACACAAATAAAAAATATAATGTTTTCAACGTCACCAGGCGTCATCAACATAAAACAAAGATTCCTTAAGTAATCTGGTTGATTATGCTTCTTTCATTTCGTGATATGCTGCTACTAGCACACCGATTATTGTAATAAACGCCTCGTGATATTCCGGAGAGTTAATAAGTCTCGGTTTCCAGAAACATATCATTCTAATCGTCACCATGACTGCGTATTCTGAATCTAATCATGAATGAGCGACAACAGTGAACGTAACAAGACATTTATGAAAATCTCTATTGTGGGCGTGGATACACCTTGCTACATAAATGCCAGGAGGTATGGGTATCATATGTCAATTTTCCAGCAACTGCTTTACAATTCTGTCCATCCCAATTACACCCAGAGTTGACAAACATCCATTCGAGAGGTATACTTTTTATCCCTCCACTTCCATATGCTGTGTTCCTAACATTACTATGTTATCACGAGCTTGGCGACACCAGAAGACGTGACGCAGCATTGATTCACCTTCGAGCCGTGAAATATGATGAGAAACAAGGAGTTGGTGACCACTGGATAGTACACAATCTCCTTGGGATATGCTATGAAATGGTTGGGGACACACGCAGGGCTCTTAGGGAATACAGGGACTCTCTGGGAAGCCAGACAATTGTGCAGTTTTTAAACCCTGCCAAGGAGAGGATAGAAAGGTTGCAATATTCACAATGAAGACAAATATAGGACAGCTTATGTAAATCCTGGAAAGTACTGGCAAATAACTATGTTACATGACGTTAGCCTTAACAGACATTTGATAATTTTATATAAGCTGACTCTGTCCTATGTAGTACTGTTAATGGTTCAATACACCAACTTAACTTTACTAGTTATAATTTGTATATATACATCATTCTTCTTCTTGCAAGATTATTGTTTTCAATATTTTTCTTTGCAACTCTAATATGGGACATTGCATAATATGTTTTATTATGCACAATTACAAACAAAAAATAAGGATTAAGATAGGCAAACATTTTGAGTAATGTAAAGACTTTTATGTAGTTTGTGAAGGTTTTGAGTCACAGTATAAGATTATGTCGAATTTATTGATTTTTCTTGTTGTGGCTATGGTCACGATAAGGGCCTTTGTGTTATTAAACCATTTAATGATATGAGTTAATACGCATGTGAAAATTTTACTCTGCAAAATGACACACTAATATACTTGCACTAATACAGCATTAACTACTATCATTCTAGAAGATCTACGATATATAAGCTATTTGTCCAAAAATGCTTTTTAATCCAAAAAGCCTTTTCGGCCTAGCTTTAAGTTTTAAATCAGTTTTGATTCGACATAGTGACAAGTTTACCACAAACAGTATTTGCGTCAAGAGTGCGTAATGGAGGAAGAAGTTCTGTTTTAATTTTAATTTTTGTTTGTTTCGGACTTTGCAGCAACAATTAAGCCAAACAATGGGTATTTAAAGACTGCCTCTAACTCATGTTATGATCATTTGAGAAATACCACAGGGAATACACAATTATCTTCAAGACTTTTCCCCATTCAGTAGCAGTTAGTTTAATATTTACACTAACAAGGTACTGTAATATGTATCGTCCGTTCCTTCCCCTTCTCGATCAGCTGGCCGGCACAACCCAGTACAAAGTCACTTGTGTATGCCATTCCTTTGGTTCATACGAAATAATACCTTATATATGGAAATATATCTAAATTGCCTTTAAGCAGTCATAAGATAAACAAGCCAACTAAAACGTTGTTTGAATCCAATAACCTCCAAAACCATTACACGTTAACGTTTTCCAATCCAAAACTGTTCAGGTATTTCCGTCAAACTGTTGAAGTGATCGGTGACCAATGATGACGTTACATAAAATTCAAATTATGACTGAAATTGGCGAATGGTTTCCGATTGACATTGGAAGCTTAACAAACTTGGTAACCATAGAATCACGGCTACTCCGCTTAAACACTTTATGATATTTTTCGAACCGAATAAAATAACAATACGCGATAATATAACATCGTCTTGGATGATATGAACGTAAACCAGACATGTACATTAAAATTCGCTACCTGTATAAATTTATGGAAATATATCTTTTGGTATAAACAAAAAAAGTGTTAAAGCGGATGTCATGATGTTCGAGAATGATGATCGGGATGAGTTATTTATTATTTATTATATATGATATAAATATTGATCATTGGAATAAATGATGTTTGGTAACTTTGCATAAAGTACATGATCGATGTTGAAGATTGCACGGAAGTCTATACCTTGTATGGGTAAATATACCATTTCTCATGTTTTTTTCGCATTACGTAAAGCATTTTTTTTCAAATAAAATGTTTACCCTACATGATTTTGCATGTTTTTTTCTTTAAATAGAAAAATATAATATGTATTACCGGGAATCTTTCACTGCCGCCAAACTCTCGCCTTTTTCGCCTTTCATATTAAGGGCGAATCTATTATATGAACAATTATATGATAAAATCTTAATGCACATTTACATTTAATGTGAATAAAAGGAGTTAAGGCAGGACGAACATGGATTTTATCGTTGATGTGCGAAATTTTGACTCGGTAAAAGATACTCCGTATATAGTATGTAATATATATACATGTAGAACAGGATTGAATCAT